TCCATCGGCACCTCAATTATATCTTCTTGATCGGAACACTACAGAAAGATTTTGTAGTATGCCGATTTTTTTGGAATTAAACTATTAAATTATATATATATTTAAAATGTTACATTACCTGTATACTGGGTGAACATGCTGACATTCTAGGTAGAGTTCTCTTCACTCTAAATGATACAACCTGAAAGGATGTGAACAGCAAAGATTTTTAAGCAGAATAATCAAATGACACTAAATAATTTCAAAAGCAAACAAAAAACTATTTGTTGCATTTGTGGCATTATGATGAAAATGATCATCAGTTATATGTGTAGTTTATTGTACTGATGGGCTTCTATTTCCTACAATATTCCCCACCTGTGTATACCGAAAATAAGAGTGATCCTCACCTTGGTATTACTGTTAGAGAGTTCATTATTTTCCATGCATTTTCTGGGCACTGCAATAGATTTCTAGGACATAGAGGAAACAGTTCAACATTTGTTGCACGACTTCATTTACTTTGCAGGCAACTTAGGATCATTACCGATTTGGTAAAGTACCTTTTCAGTGCCAGTGTCCAAGAAGCTATAATCCCAGTCAGTACATTCACTGTGCTCACTTAGCGGATCCTACGCATAGAATTAACTGTCATTTTAATTATATCAAATGGTTCAAAAGTACATTATAATTGTAAAGATTGTAAAAATAGAGCAATAAAAGGGGGAAGCTGTGTTACCGTCTCAGCAGTGAAACGTAATGCCGGTTTTGGAGAACTGTGGAAAGTGCCACTAAGCTTCCCTGAGTTATCCTGGACAAAAGGGACAGTAATTGTGAATAGCAGATGACGAAGCAAGCAATTACATTATTCTGTTGTATCCAATATAAAAGCACCTTTAAGGTTTTAGAGATATATAAGAGATCATCATTACTGTTCAGCAGTTTAATGTGTAATGGTGGGCTGTCCTACAAGAAGAAAGCTTGTTACTACTGTGCATTATCATCTGGAAGGTAATACACAAACACACACACAACCTATTTTTGTTGTTGTAGAACTATACCTCTCCAGACGTGTCCTCGGCTCCTCTAGGAAAAGTTTGGAGAAAATTTAACGGGGAATTTTCCTCCTAAAGAAATTAATCTGAGAATTAGAATTGCACTTTGCATTTTGTTTGACTTTGAATTCATGGTATATGGCCAATGTGACTGGTCCCGCTGAACCATTTTTCAATGCTGTTTCTACCTGTAAATGGACAGCAAATCTGCATGCATATCATAAAAAGCTAAACAAATTCTATCATAATTTAGACAGTATTGCTTTATAAATTTAAACTTTAAAACATTCATATAAGAATAAATGGCTGCATGAACAAGGTTGTAGCTTTTTCCACACCTTAATGTTGTTGTTTTCGGTTTGGATGAGATTACAGGCTGAGTGTTCTCCATGTTGTACTTCTTCCTGTCAAGAAAGAAAGAGGAAGGAAACACCAGCCACGGTATGTGTCAGATAAACCGAAATTGCAGTTAGCATTATTCTGTGTAATGTGTAACATCAAAGCATGATTTTTACAGCATGAACACAGATTGTGGACACAGGGTGGAACACCTGAGCTAAGCCTAATCCAAACCTATTGTGTCATTACAAATACTGTGATTCACATTGGATGTTAGGGTTAAGTTTTCAAGTTATGTAAAGTGTAATATAATTACATCAGACCTTATTGCTGTGTTGGTTGGACAGACTGTTAGTGGTGGCAGTGAAGCAATCCTGGGGCAAACGGAAAAATAATCAGATAAATATCAGAGAAAAATCAATAGCTCAAAGTGTATTATGTAACTCTACAGGCAAAAAATCTCATTTGATCATGAATTCCTATCCTGAGTATTTATATGAGCAAGATAAGGAAATATCTTGCATCCCCTGGTGGTTAAAGAGGATACACTTTCATGGCCTAACACTAGCTGTGTGATGTAATCTATTCAAAAATAATGTGTCTCTGCAATGCATAATGAGACACAATGGTTACAAAGTGTTTTTGGACACCTGAACCAAACTTAAAAATACAAATTTGACTGTTAGACAATGGATGTTAGCAACATTTTTATACATCAATGATGTTCAATTTCATGGTCAGGCCATTAACTTAAATTACACTATGAATTTATTATTTCAACTAGCAACAGACTGTATAAAATAGCTTCAAGTGTCTGTCGTCAATAAACACATTGTTCTACCTCTTGTGCAGGAAGATTCGTCAACATTTTAGTAGTTCTTTTAAACAACTGGCTGAAAAAAGCAGCTTTCGCCTGACACATAAAGAAAATGTACATTATTATTTTAAAGAAACATTAAAAACAATGAAATGGATATAAATATACACCATGTATAATAAAAGTTAAGAATATCATTTGATGACCTTAGGGTTGTTGTTGTCTGGTTGTTGATCATTGAGAGCTGGAAGCTCACTCTCAGTTAGCATGTTCTGGGAAAAGATGGAAACTGATTATTCTCAGAAAAAATACCATTGCTATATTTATATCTACATACTACAATAATAAATAAGAATCTTCCTTTTTTTGCAGTCTGTCTATATTCCAAAATGTTACCAAAAAAAAAAGCAGAGTCCAAATGGTATTCTTAGAAATCAACTTTAAAAGTGCATTAAAGATAAAATATACAATTAGAAACTGAACATACTTTTGCTTTTCTCTAACAGACTGTCATTATTGCTAGTGATTCGACCATTTACAATATTCTCATCCTAGATAATAAAAAAATGGTCAACTAACCATTGCCAATAAAAGCACAGATATTACAGAGTCTGGCTAATTACCCTAGTGTGAATGCTTGCAGTTCCTACACCCTGAAACATGTCTCGTCTCGCTTCATATGAGTGCTCAGCTGCGCCTGATCGCCTGGACATTAAATCTACTTTCTCCTTTAGCACAAGCAGAGACAAAAACACACAGCAATATACAAACAGTCATATATGTGGCTGCAAAACATTTATTTGAGTATTTAACTGTGTGACACATTGCTAACATATGTCACTGTGTGTCAACTTCACCTATATAGAAATAGCTCAGTTTTTGTGTCATCCTTCTTGAAATATTGTGCATTAAGATGAACTTGAAGGGACACTGCTTCTGATTTAAATATTTTCTGAACAGATAATCTAATTTTGTCCTGAAAACTAAAGTAATACTATTTAAACCATTCTTTAATATTGTGCAAGATTTTTAATTGTGCCAGGTGTTTAATATCTCACATTCACACCTAAACTAATAAAATGGGGATTCAGCTCCAGACATGTTTTCAGTGGTTCTAGTTCATGACATCCTTGTTAATATAAATCTATATTCTTTTATGCTTGCTTTTTCTTACCTTTTTATTCATTTAAAAAACTTTTTTTTATAATCTTCATGTTCTTAATTGATCGTAATCTTCTTGGAAACAATATAATAAAATATCATTATAGATGTAGTATACAAATAAACTTGCCTTGCCTTTTCATGTCACAATTAAATGTATAGTTTGGGACGCTGGAGTCTAAAGGCAGGGAAATACCTTGGATGGACGGCCAGTCCATCACAGAGCTAACACACAAAGACTCACACACCCAAACAATTTAATGACTCTTAAATAAATTACTATTCTCATAAATTTCACAATGATGTGAAAATCTAATTAATGTATTATTTTCAAATGCCATAGCCAACCTGATGGCAATATTACAGCATATATCACCTCTAGGTGAGCATATGGAAACTTTTTCACACTGCTCATTCTCTCTCTTCGAAAAAAAAAGAAAAAAATGAAAAAAAAATTCATATTTAAAATTATTAATATTTCTTCAAATTAGTTTTAAAATAGTCAAATATTAAAATAAACTATTTTAGCATTGTCAGCATGAAACTGAAAATATAAAATAAAATATTACTTATTTTTTCATGTGACTGCTTCCTTACCTCATTTTAGCGTAGGAGGTTTGAGCTTCTGCTTCAGTTTTCCCTCTCTGTAGTTTGATTAACCATTGCACTTCTCCATTTCTAACTATATAAAAAAAAAAAAAAAAAAACAAGTTTGCGCAATGTATGTATGTATAGGAACCAAAATGATGAATATTGAAGTGTTCCACACGCAACACTGCGCCGGAGAGTACTGTTAAACAAACTTTAAAGGCGACAAACAATGACATCATCATTCATGATCACAACTGCAAACATAATCAACAATGTCAACGCCTCGGGCTCACGACGCTTCATTAGTTAATTTGCTAGGATGCACTTTTTATGCTTTCATTTTTTTATAAGCAACAATGTAGAATTATTTTTCGATACTGACATTCCGTTGTCAATGTGGATCGTTCTAGTCTGAGGCAAAGCGTCTGAATCTGATCTAGTAGTATGACACATTGCGCGTGCGGGCCAAACAGGAAGTTTGACTCTACCGAAACTTGTTTATTTGATAAACATACAAAATTGACAATTTCAACGATATTTCTCCGTACTGTTTTGCCTACCTTGTGTTCCCATGCTTACAGCTAAAGAGAAATGGTCTGTGAAGTGTGAACTTGTCAAGCTCCACCCGCTAAATCTGTGTTGACTAATAACAGAATCACGGCGAGACGGTTTAACAGGATGTCACGTCAGGTTGACTCCAGTCTCTCATTACATCCAGTGGGGGAAAAAGAGAGAAAACCCCACCAAGAATTCATGGGTTTCTTCAGACCAGGTTTTATTTATTATAATTTTTTTATATATATGAAAGTCACATTCAAATTCAAATTTAAATACATTTAGTTACAAAATAATGTGAAAATTCATCATATGAATTTTAAGACACAGATGGCTATCAAAAGGCTGTGACTGACAGATTAGATAGATAGATAGATAGATAGATAGATAGATAGATAGATAGATAGATAGATAGATAGATAGATAGATAGATAGATAGATAGATAAACTTCACCTATATAGGAATAGATAGATGACAAATATACAAGCAGATAAATGTTATAAATAATTAAATAACATGTTTTTTATCAGGAGAAAATATTTATACAAACACGTGTTCAGGACCATTTACGCTCATATTCTTTTAGACCTATAAAAGCATAAATTATAGCAGTGAATATAAAGCCATAAAAATAAGTTAAGATGCCAAATTTTCTTTGCTCTTTAATAATGAAAGCCAATATAGTTATACAACTACAACTATACAACTAACTAACAACTGTACAACTATAATTTGTAAACATCTAGATTGAAGGTATTCATAAACCTAGAGGAGTGTTTATAGAAGTTTATCTTCTTTCAGAGTGGTAGTCAACTGCAACTCATTTCGGATGCTGTTAAGTTCCACCAAGCCCTCCTGTAACTGGTCTGCCACCTCTCTGATTTTCGCAGCAAATTCTGACTTCGCACCATTTTTAAGCTCATGAGAGTCTTTGGCCACAAAGTAGATGTCCATACCGACAAAAAGTCCAGTCAAAACCCCTGTGGATATACTAGCAATCTGCACAGCACGTGCTGCAGTGGTTCCTGCCACATTGGCTATCTGCATCACACGCATAATCTCATTGGCATTAGTTAGAATAGCTTTGCCCGCCATGGCACCATCCTCATAAATATTGTCAAAACAAGGGAAGTCTCGATTATAGGCATGCTTCTTCATCTTATTCAGGTTGAACTTGCGTAGGTTTGTAATGCCTTGCTTGATGAACTTCATGCATTTGTTAAGGTCTGCCATCTTCACCTGGTAGTCTTCCACAATCCGCTCCACCTTCTTGCGATCCATTGAGTTGTTGACGGTACTGGATATCCCAGCGGACGCAGAGGTAAGCCCGCCCGCCATGGCAACACCCAGGCCAACCGCAGTGACAATCAGGGAGGTTCCCATGGTGAAAGGTGCCAAGATGAGGCCAGTTATGGTAGCAACCCCTCCCACAGCGCTGGTGGAGCCACCGGTGATCTGGGCAATTTTAGTCTTCTTGTTGAATCTGTCCAGGCCATCGGCAATGGCATGCAGGTCAATCACATGCTGCCATAGCCCTTCTGCTCTCTCTGAGAAAAGTTTATTAAACACGCAAATGCCTTTTTGCACCTTCTCAGCAGTTACAGCAAAAGCCCTGAGAAAAAAGGCCAATGGTCAGTCAAATTCTCTTTTTTCCATATCACACACACACACACACACAGAATGAATTGGGACTTACTTGGCTTCCTCTTTCTCTGTCATGTTGTCACTTTTGGGCATGTCCTCCCATTCTGAAGTGGAAAAAAGAAAATGGGAGGACAATAGCTATGAATATCAAGTCACGATTAGAATGGGCCATCTGTTCAAACTTGGTTACGTTAATATTAGTTTGTCTAAACTAAGAAGTTAAATGATGGGAGGTAGGGGATTATTTCTTAAGTGGACAAACAGTCACACCAACATGATGGGAAAAACTCACTTTCCACAGTGTCCCACCAATCCATGAGGCCATCAAGATCCTGTGACAGATACATTTATGATAACTAAAAAATGGTCTATTTTAGAAAATAAAGTCAAGGATCTATATTTAATGAACCAAACCTCCTCATCCTCTTTCTCATTTTCACTTAAACGGAACTCATCTAGCCATTCCATGAGGGACTTCTTGTGTTCTTTAGTCTGATGAAAAAATAAACAGAAAGTAATGTCAGGTTATTATGCAAGCAGAGATTGGACAATAATGTGTAAAACAGAACTTGATGGGAGAATTCCAATGCAGAAACACACAAAAATTGCAGAAGTTGCGAGTCAAATAGGAAGGTAGTTTGTTGTGGTTTTGTTTTTGTCACAGGTTGCAAAAAAACACAATTTTTTTTGTGGCTGGTGCAATACAATATAGGAGGCAAATCAAATTTCCAACATCATTTTTCCCTCCTAAAATAATAGTAATTGAGTTCAGTTTTTTTTAAAATCAAAATACAAAACTAATTTATTGTCACCTGACCTGTAGCATAAAACAGTTTATGAAGGTGGGGTTTTTATATTTAGGATACCACAACAGTCTCTCAGTTCTCATTTTTTGCCTGTTTGTGTCTTGTTTTCAGTATCACAAGTTTTATTTTGATTAAAAGAACTTCTTGGATATTTCAGCACCTCTGCAAGGTCACTGCCACCGCCACTGCCTCCGCCTCCATTTTGGTTTCCATTCTTTTTCTGCGTTGTTTTGTTCTGTAATAACAGCACATGATTTCACTGAATAACAACTGTGAGCATGTGAAAACGTAAGAAGCAAAAATACTTGTTTACCTTTGGTACAACCTGGGGCATAAATGGATTTTTGGATTTCTTCTTTTGTCCTTTTTGCTGTAAAAATGTCATATGATATAAAGCTGTTCAACTGGAATGACTCCAGATCACCTGTTTTGGTTCTCTGGAAAAAATGCACCACTGAGGGCATCAGTATTTACTTAAAATGATAAGATGGGTGCAATTACTTTTGTTTTTTCCTCTTCTCCAGGTGTCTCAGCCACTGTGTCAGAAGTCTTTTCCAGGACCTCACTGCTATCACCCTGCAATAATGAGGAGAATGCATATAACCCTATTCCTATGATTCAGATTTGACTGTGTTTTTTTAAATGTGTTTGACATATAATCTGTGTTGAAGAAAAAAGAAAAAGAGAATACAGAACCTAAATTAAGACAAAATATAAAATGGTAAACTAAAAGAAGTGACATTGTTAAAAACTTTAGGTAACTTGTCATGGTTGCCAGTCAAAATAGCATCAATAATTGCATTCATTAAAATGTGACAAATGTTTAAATTATAGCCTCACCACTTGATTTGTTATTGAGTTACATAATTCAACCTGTGCAGATGATCTTGCACAACAATTTGAGTCATATTTCACCTGGCATTCTAATGTGCAAGTAGGTGCTTGCCTTTTAGTTATAGTGATTTCGGCTGGGCTCAAAAAGCCCAAAGGCATGGCATTTTTTTTTTTAGAGATAACAGCTTCCATACCGTTGGAATTGCACAAAATACCAGAAGAACCAAAACAACTTAATTAGTCTGTTTCAACATGTTATCAATAAAGCTTTTAGTTTAGAGGTTATTTTTTATAATGCTGTATACACATACACACACACACACACACACACACACACACACACACACACACATATATATATATATATATATATACACACACACACACACACACATATACATATATGCCCATTTTAATAAACAATACAGGAATTTTTAATCATATTATAACTTAATATAATAATACTATTTTAAACAATAAAATATTATAAAACAATAATACAATTCAAATAAAATAAAACAAATAAAATGCACCATCACATTTTGGTAGTCAAAGCAACAGCACTTGAGCATTCCTCATAAACCAGTGCAGAGATGAAAATGCTTATTTACCTTCTTAAGGGTTGGTTGGCTCTCGACATCAACCAGCTCCTCTGCATCTAAACCAGAACCCATGTCCTGGTATAAAAGAGAAAAGTGCATCATTGACAATAATTTGATGAAAATCAAGTCCTTGTCTTTTGAGATTCAATGGTTAAAGGCAGTCCTGATCCATCCAATTATGTGTGTAATAAATCCGAGCTGTAATTTAGCTTGCAAATAATTAACAAAACTGTGTTACATCTTTAAAAAAAGTATGCCCACCTGCATGGATATTGACTGTTTAACGTCAGGTTTATCAGTGGACTCCAAAAACTGTCGTGTTTTTTCCATGCCCTGCTGGGGAAGCAGATGCCTTCCTATTACAACATGTTTTTATCACCTATCAGAACTAGTGACATTATTAAAGAGATTAAGTCTGTGAAATAGTAAGGTTTAACTTACAATACATGGAACATATACCTAGAAAGGTGAGAGAAGTGAAAGTGAGAGGGACAGAGTGAAATATAGGAGTAGCAAGGCAGACAAGGACTTACTTCAGCAGTGGAGGGCTCGTCACAGTTGTTATCGATTTTAAGAAGTTCTCTGTCCATTATAAGAAAGGAATACCAAATAAACAAGAAACAGATAAAAGGACTGAGAGTCAGAAGAGTAAAAATAGGACTATTAAACACTCATGATTTTGCGGTCAGACCAAACATCATCACATGCTGAAGGTTCACTTTGAACTGGGAGGTCACCCTGAGACAGAGAAAGAAAGGAGTTTTTGTTGAAAAATGACCTTCATTAATCAACACTGAATGCTAAGGCAAAGTAGACCCCAGATCAGCAACATCTATAAATGCCTAGGTAAAACATAAATATTAAAGACAAATAGAGGGGTGACAGCAGTCAAGGGAATTTTAGAAAAAAAAAAAATATTAAATCAAAGTAACGGTAAGTCTTGAAACCCCGGGTAAGTTAAGTCAACAATCCACAGACTGAGTCAGTCATGACGGTATAACAAATAAAGGCATCCATGCCTCTCTCTCGGTCGTTTTCTGAACATGACAGTGGTTTCCCAACATACATATTAAAGTTTGCAAAGTTGTTTTACAAATAAACAAAAAAAAAGTGTTTATAGTTGGAGCAAGACATGCACAGGCGTAAACCGCACACTTCCCTGAGGAGAAAATGTTGAATCGAGAAGAAAAATAAACTGGTGATCTATTTATGAAATGAAAGACAACTGTGTACCTTAAATTGTTTCCATGTTATTTTCTTTTGACGAGCAGTGGTTTGCCTCGCAGTGTGAAGTACATGGTGAAGTATCGAAATGTTTTTAACTCCGCCCTTTCTTGCTGTGTGTGTTTTTGTTATTTTGTAAATCCATTGACGGCAGACAGGTGGTGCTATTCGGCAGGGCAGGGGGCTGGGGGCCCTGGGCTTGAGGTTATGTTTGGCCCTTACAGTCTGGTTTGGGCCCTACAGCTACACTATGAATTACCTCAACTAGAACATCATTACGGAGTTGCACAAAATACACAAACATGAAAATATGCTTGATGTTCATAGAACGATTAATATGCAACATGCCAAGCATAGTCAAAGTTCAGATGTAATATCAAATAGTCATTATAAAAATAGGCTACAATAAAATGCAGGGTGTGCTCTTTCTCATGAGAGAATATCAAAACCCTGTAAGTAGTTTTGAAAAACATTGATGGCCTAAGACACGAAACGAGTGGTTTACTGTGAGAAAACGAACAGTATTTATATCGTTTTTAGCTCTTGTAGCCACGTCCAAGTGATCTGAGGGCACGGGCGCTTTGTGGCGCTTTAAAAACGATATAAATTCGTTTTCTCACACAAGCTAAAACATACAGAAAATTAATTGCAAAGTGAACTATCCCTTTAATACAGTTTCTCTTCAGTTAAAAACATAAATGCATACTCAAGTGGACATCTGAAAATCAAAAATATGTGTAAAAAAAAGTTCAAATTTTGTTTTTCATGCAATAAAAACAAATACTGTAGTAAAAAAAAATCTGACTGTGGTTAGTATAATTCATGCATGAAAGGGTTAAAACATGATTAAACAAAACAATGTACCATGGATACTACTTACTACCACCTTTACAAGCTTTTAAGCTTTTTTTGTATTGATGAGGAAATATAATCCAATCACAATGTGTTTGTCATTCTGGAAATGCCATGGCATACACCAATTATTGCTTCAAAATGCAGTCCAAAGTCCCTTGGTCTGTTTAAACAGTTACGCAAGTGGTCTTTAAGTGAATGTTATTCATTTAGAACATGACTTAACAGACAGAACAATATACATAATGTTGATTTTAATAACAGTGTTGATGCTTAATGCATGGGCTATACCAGAAGATGATATATTACCAAACATAAATATCCTTGAAGAACTGGGAAAGATGAAGATCATGGAAACAAGGCTGGAATCTATGGAGAAGGAAATGGAGCGACTAAGAACAGAAAACACAGGTAATGTGACACTGCTTACAAATGTGAAGGACATTGACAACTTTAATAAAATCTAAAACTAGTTTCCATAAAAACCCCTTCTAATTAAAAGGAGGGTTTATATAACTTATTAAACAAAATGAAGGTAATAAAAAAGTTTCATCATTGAAAAATCTCACATATTTGGGCAAAAAACTGCCTATCAAAAAGTTCAAGGCTTCAATTGATCAGACATATTTTATGTAAATAAATGAATGTTTATTGATCAATGATTATTATTTTAGCTCAAGGTAAGGAACTGGACACTTTACGTGAAACAACAAAGGATGTAAAGACCAAAATGGATGATCTTATAAAACAAAAAGAAGGTAAGGTTTATTAAATATTATACAAGAATTCATACATTTAATTGTTGAATAAGTGTGTTTCTCAATGTTGAATTTTGTGATTTATATTCTTGTTTTTTCTTTTATGCTTTGTTATTGTAATGCCATTTATAAAGAATCTCAGTTATATACTTTCTTTATCATAGGTAAACCTTAAAATGAATGTAATTAAATACTTTTTAATGATGCAACCTAATTTACATACTTTATGTCATAGTTTCAAAAGTGGCTTTCTCAGTTTCTCTGTCGTCCTCTTATGGGCCACTTAGCAGTTTACACACCCTGATTTACAAACACATCTTCCTCAATACTGGAGAGGCTTATGACACAAATACAGGTACAGAAAACCACTTTATATACCTTGAATTTGACTTTTTTTTAACCCTGATTGATTTATGTCATTTTGTCTGATACAGGAATCTTTACAGCACCTATGAAGGGAGTGTATGTATTCAGGGTTTTCTCTAAGGCCTATGGCAGTTCAGATAAAGCAGTTGTCGCAGGCTTGTTTAAGAATGGCCAGCATGAAATTTCTACATATGCACGTCAAAAAGATGGTTTCACGGGCTCTTCGAATGGAGTTTCTCTGCTGCTTGAAAAGGGGGATAAAATATGTGTAAATCTCTATCCTAATTATTGGATTTTTGACAATGAACACCATCACAGCACCTTTAGTGGACATCTGCTTTTCCTCATGTGATCGGAACCTACATGAACGTCTTTGGACATCAAGACTGTAATAATACAAGATGTTCCATTCACATTTTTTTTCTCTCTGTAAGACTATAAGAGTGAATGAATTTGATAACATTTTCAGTTAATTTAATACTTGTACTTCAAATGCATCAGCACCTATAAAGTGAGTTTTGTTAAAAGGCCCTATATGTGTGTCAATGTGTCAAAATGCAATCCATTAAAGAATTTAGTAAAAAATATAACTTTGAGTGTCACATTATTTCATCATCTACTGCTCTTTATCTGTTTTCTGGAGTCTTCTGTTCTCTCAAGTGAAGTGATGTGATGTGCAGGACAAGAATGGTATAACCCATACTCGAAATTTCTCCTCGAAAACGAATTTCTCTTTGTTTCCTGCAGGTATTGACAATCGAATCTGCAACCTTCGGGTTACAAGTCTGACTCTCTAACATTAATGCAAGATTCTGCAAAATAAATAAATGCAGTTAAAATATTAGCTGCAGAATTTTGAACACAACTTTTTTGAAGTATGCTTAAACCCCAATACGTTAAACAAATATGTTAATTAACTTTTCGGCTGCTGAGAGGGAGGACGCAATTTTGCGATATCTCGAAGTTAAAAAATAACTCTTAACAACCTTTTGTTCATAAGGATCAACTGTCAATGAGGAATCAAAAAGCACTCCCAGATTCATTAATTTCTTCTAAAACTCAAATACAGAACCATCAATGATAAGAGGTCTTTAGTTAGCCTATACTGAGCTGATGAGGAGAACCAATAAGCATGACCTCAGTCTTATCACCGTTTAAACACAGAAAATTATTAGCCAGTCATTATTTAATCTCATAGATATATTTAGTGAGTAATAAGACAGCCTCACTGTGGCATGTTTACAATGAACATAGATTTGTGTCATTGGCATATACGTGATACTTGATACCTAAAATTCATAAGAGTTGACCAAGAGGGAATACATAAAGCCTAAAAAGTAAGGGTCCTAAAATTGAGCCATGAGGGATGCCAGTAGAAAACTGACCCAATATCAGACCTGTACCCTAGAGCAACAAAATGGATCCGGTCAAATAGGATCTAAACCAGTTTAAGACGGTGCCAGAAATACCAAAAACTCAATGTTTCAATGTGTAAAAGAGTATGATCTACAGTGTAGAAAGCGGCATTAATGTCTAAGAGAATATAGTATGGGATCTAGAATCAGAGGCCAATTCACTTTAACCAGGGCCATTTCATTGCAAAGTGAAAACCAGATTGAGGTTAATCAAAAATTACTAACAGAAAGATTTTTATGCAAATGTAAAATTTTAGCCCAGAAAGTTAGATTTCATAGTTTAAATTATCCAAATTTAAGTTTCGCTTCTTGAGTACAGGAGAAACAGCAGCGGTTTTAATGAAGCTGGGACAACACCAGTACTTATGGATTCGATTGCTGGGCACAAATGCTCAAAACAATACTTAAACCAGTAGTAAGGGGATCAAGTATGCAAGTAGTAGCTTTCATACCTGAAACAACTGTTACAAGTGCGGCAAAATCAGGTTGGAAAACGAGCGGAAAAAAACAAGGGGAAAAATTAAGGTGAACTACGCAGTATTGGGCAATGGGCATTCAAGGTGAACATGATTGCAGTTTACTTGTTAGATTAAATCTCTAGTGGGTTTGTCAGACTTTAATGTTTACATGTACTATTAGCTCATAGTCATGGGTTATGTCCTGTATAGTCTTGCTTTTGTTAGTGGGTCACTTCTACGCTGTGTGTAAGGTCAATACCTTTAAGGACTGCCCACTGAATGCCTATAAAATACAATGTGCATCAGACTTGAAGACTGCAGAAACCAACAGCACATTCTCAATAAAGAATCCTGATTCTCCTGGAATTGCTAGTTACCGGCAACAAAATGTGGATTCTTGCAACAGTTGTAATGCTAAATGTGTGGGCTGTAACAGCAGACGATGTACTTTCATCAAAAATAGACATCATTGAAGAACTACAGAAAATAAAGACCGTGGGAACAAGGATGGAGAAGGAAATGGAACGACTAAAAACAGAGAACGAAGGTAACGTGACAGTATCTTAGATACAGGACACAAGAATTTATACATTTCTTCAGCTTTTATTGACAGTCCATGTTTGCACTGAACATCTGTTTGAATGATTATTATTTTAGAACAAGCAAAAGAACTGAAGATTTTGTATGACACAAAGATCCAAATGGATGAACTAATAAAGCAGAATCAAGGTTTGTAAATCAAAAGACACCCAGGAAAAAGAAACTGATATAACATTTCAACGTTACAGTACCAGTCAAAAGTTTGGAAATATTTAGATTAATGTTTTTGAAAGAAGTTTTTAAGCTCTCCAAGGCTGTATTTATTTGATCTAAAATAAAGTAAAAACAGTAATATTGTGAAATTTTATTACACTTTATAATGCTTTCAGTTTAAATAGAATTTATAATGTAATATATTTCTGTGATATCAAAGCCTAATTTTCAGCATTATTACGGCGGTCTTTAGTGTCACATGATCTGACATAAATCATTCTAATATTCTGATTTTGTGCTCAATTATCACCAACTAGTATTGGTGCTCAAATATTTATAATTAATCATATTCATAAAAAAACATTTTTGCATGCTTAATATTTTTGTGGAAAGCGTGATCCATTTTTGTCTGGATTCTTTGATAAATAGAAAGGTGAAAAGAACATTATTTATTTGAAATGTATTGAAATTTGTAACAAAATAAATGTCACTTTTGATCAATTTAATGCATCCTAGCTGAATAAAAGTATTATTATTATTATTTCATATATCACTTATCCCAAACCTTATCATGGTTTGCCATCATAGGAATATATTACATTTTAAAACAGAAAATAATATTTCAATATAGAATTTTACAATATTACAGTTTTACTGTATTTTTGATCAAATAAATACAGCCTTGGTGAGCAGGAAAAAAAAACTGATTTTAAAAAAATCTAAACCCCAACCTCTTGAACAGCAGTGTAAATATAATGAAATAATTTGTAATGTAATGTATAAGTCTATGTTTTAGCTCCTAAAGTGGCTTTCTCAGCCTCTCTGTTGACCTCTTTTGGACCACAAAGCGTTGGACCCTTTGATGGTGATTTACACACCCTGATTTACAAACACATTTTCCTCAACACTGGAAACGCCTATGATGCAAATACAGGTGAATAAATTCATTTAGTGTTAATATCTCTCTGTCATTTTTTATAATGCTCTCATTTGAATGTATCTAATTAACCTTTGTTCGATACAGGAATCTTCACAGCACCTGTGAGGGGAGTGTATGTATTCAGGGTTTTCTCAAAGGCGTTCGGAAATCCACTGAGAGCTGTTACCGCAGGCCTGTTTAAAAATGACCAGCATATAATTTCTACACACGGACACCAAGAAGCTGGTTTTATCAGTTCTTCAAATGGAGTCTCTCTGCTGCTAGAAAAAGGGGATACAGTGAAAGTAAATCTCTATGCTGGCCAATGGATATTTGACAATGGAGAACACCATCACAGCACATTCAGTGGACATCTGCTTTTCCCCATGTAAACTTGCAGACAGTTTATTCACCCAAAAAATCTATTCATAAATAAAGGATGTATACAATCCTTAAAAAAAAATCAATTTACTGAATACAACTAAATATTAAATCAAGTGGTTGTCATTTTCATACAATAAAAACAAAGCAAATATTCTTCATATCATGGCTTAGTTTAAGGCAATAGTATCATTAGTGCAAAATGCTCCATGCATGTGAAGTAAATGAAAATGAGCAGAATTACAACTGATTAAAGATTACGAATGTACCGACTGTGAGGATATCAACCTGTCCAGGACAGGAAGTACAGCTGACCCTGCGTATCTCCGCAAACAAATTCCCTGGGGTCGCGGGGGTTCACCTCCAGCACCTTGACAGGGCCTCCACACACAAACATGCCAACCTGTGAAAGGCAGAAAATGAGTGGGAAAACAGAAATGAAATGGGATATAAACTGGTAGATATATTGAAGGAGTGGATTTGGAATCCATTCCTTCACTATAGGAAAAAAAATAAATGAAATAATAAAAAAACCTGTTTCTTAGTGTGTCTGTCCCATAGTTTGACGGATCTGTCATGAGATGCTGAGATGATGAGGCTCTCTGTAAGCCGCAGTACACTCACTTTGTCTCTGTGTGCCTATAGAGACCAGTCAACAGCCACCAAATGTATCAGCAACCCATGCCTTCATGACATATGCTCATTATACCTATCAGGAAAGCTAGAGGATACTTGCCGGTTTTCTTTCAGTCCAGGAGGCTATATTAGGAGGCTGGTTGAACCATATGTTCCCTTTATAATCACCACACACAATAAAGTCTGTAAAAAAAAAAAAAAAAAAACATGATTTGAAAACAACCAAATCAATCATTAAATCATTTATCAGTCATGAACAGTTCACATAATGACCACTAAAAAGTCATGGACCACTCAATGTCATGGGTATGTAAGATTGTTTTTGTTGTTGTTGTTGTTAAAATACATTAACTACTATTTGTATCGCATTCATGGGTTTATCTTTCCCAGAATTGTAAACACTGTTCTGATGAGTCCAGAACAGCCTCAAACTGTCGTGAATGTGGTTAATAGTAATTTATTCTCACAATAAAAGAGAGAATAGGACTTGAACAGACAGCTCTCTTCACAATTCACGGACTTTCTGACAAATTGGTTCATTTAATTGTGCTATACATTAAAGTGCAAGAACAAGTGTACCATTTTGCATTGCTGCAGCTGTGATCCAGGAACTAATCTGCTCCGCCTTCCGGTTTGCAATTCGCAGCTGTTCAATCTGTTCCTTGCTGGGTCTCTCTTGCTGCTGCTCCTCGCACTCCTCCATATTATCCCACATCTGCTCCTCCATCTCCAATTCCTCAGGGCTCTTACCCACCGCATCGTAACAAAAGTTTAAGTTGAAGGGGTGACTTGGATTTACAGACAACTGAAAGACAGACCGTTTCAGATCATTTGGTTTTCAGGCAGTTTTTACAATGTCAGACTCACATGATAATAATAGATGATGAACTTACAAGCAATCCAATGTACAGTACACTCTTTTTCTGTCCCAACAGCCAAAAGCACTTGTTATCATTTGGCAATATGCCGATAGGACGTATCACGTCTTTCCAACTACAACAAAACACACACTTTTTATTATCCAATGAAGTAATGTTATCATTCACAGTGCATGTGCCACCTTGCCCAGAAAAAGGATTAACAGAAGAGCGCAGGACATCTTATCTATGTATAAAAATGATGTGCCGTTTATTTACATATAAATTTCTTTGGTCGACGAGCTAGTAGAGATCACATCGATGACTTCTCCATTCACATATACTCCAAACAGACTGCCACAGTAGAACAAAAAGCTCACAGGAGTCTCCACTTTGTATGAAGACATCTTACTGAGTCTGGAAGAAAATAAAATAACATGTGATTCCTTATAATAAGATGGCTCCAGCACTAAGCATTGTTAAATAGGCATTTGAGAAAGGCTTTTTTCATTAATCTTGGAATTGTTTTTTTTTTTTCATTGTTAGAGTGTGCAGGGTTTTTTTGCAGTCCTCCTCCTATTTACAAAATAAAAATCCACACATAAAATTGTTTAAAAATTTAAAACAGGGGTGAAAAGCAATCATTATATCATCCTTTATAAGAGCTTGGTTTTATTTAGCCACAGTGTGTTTTATGTTTATTGAACATAAAATGACACTGGCTGATATTAATAACCGATAAATTGCAGAAAATAAAATCTATAATATATATAGATATATATTGAATACATTAAAAACAAAACACTAAAATCAACCATTTTAAAGTTTTGTACATACACAATATCATAATGAAATACCAAATATTATTATGCCTGTAATCACACTGCTGATTTCAAGATCAAAATGCATTTTCAAGAGTGACAAAAGAAAATGTATTTATAGTAAACAATGCAAAAAATCTTCAGTGGTCTTATGTTGACAAATCTTTTGTCAAATTTTTGACCCTCTTCTCACCACCCCCTTGTAAAAACTGGCTTTGCTTGAATCACATGATTGACATTCAGAATGGCACATTTCTCTGAAAGGCAACAAGTTTGCAAAACTGAAATTGAAATATGAAAGTGAAGAGGGATAAAAGTTGATACCTCACAATGCTCTTCTTGGTGTCTCTCTCCAGTTTCCAGACAAATACAGAGCAGTCGCTGCAAGCCACAGCTAACTGATCCTCTGGCATACCAGTGACTGCACATAAGGCGCCATCACTGACCTTAGTGCAACACACACAGAGACGTTCATTGAGATATTTCCAACCGAAAGAAGGTAAAGTTATTTTCACTAACTGATCAACAAAATAATAAACTCAGTTCCCAACCGATGATTACCTTCTTCCAGTAAACCACTGAATTCTGATGCCATATCTCCAATCTGCCTGTGTCATAACCACAGACCATGAGTTCATCATCAGTATCAAGGAAGCACACAGCTCTGACACTGCCTTTCTGGGAAGGAGGAGCTTCTGTGGATAATTGTGTGTAAAAAAAAGTTGCCAATCAAATGATATTTTGGATGGACAGCTGCTTTTGTTCACTAACAAAATGTTCTGAGGATTTGTGTGACAGTTTAGTTGAGTTCATTGGGAATGACCATTCTTTCGTACCCATTGCCGTGGTGACACTCCATGACCTGAGGGAACGATCCACAGAGACAGTGAGAAACTCCGGCAGTCCGGCCTCTTTGCACACTAAAGCTTGGATTTCTGCACTGTGACCATGCAGGGTATTATGATGATGTACCTATGAAAATGTAATTGTTGTGAATAAATTAGCAATGCACTGATATAAAAATCTGACTGATGCAGATAAGATGAGAGTTATTTTCATTTTATGGCCAATAAAAATGGCCAGTATTGTTATACCATTTTATCAAAACAAAGTAAAAATAAAAAACTAAGCTAAAGTTAATTTAGGCACCACACCATTATACATTATGAAAATGACTATTTATCTTGGTATTTGCTAAAGATTAACATTGTTATTAAACTATTAGTGTTTTATTAAATATTAAAATTGAGTGCTTTTAATGGCTGCAAAGATCTAAATTTACGTAAATATCGGTGGAAATGATTTCATAATTAAATATACAGTATCATCTGATCAACAATACGGTCGCGATATATTATGATTTCCTAGAATTAATCTCTTGAGCACATTGTTTATTGATAATTATTTAAATTGTTTATAAATTAATTATTAATGTAATTATTTAAATTATTTACATTGATAATTATTTAAAATATCTGATTTACAATTACTTTTATTTAAATAAAATATAAACAAATGATTAATGAAAAAAATACAGAGGTGAGAGTTGGTTACCTGCAGTGGATGCCAGAGTTTAACAGTTCCATCTCCTGATGCTGAAGCTACCAATAAGTCTTCTGGTTTTAAATTCTCTCCCAGATCTGTATGCAACAAATGGTTTTGCTAAGAAGGTTTGTTTAAGCAAGATACACTATTTAGATGTCAAGCTGCTGTTTGTGTGTAAATTTGTGCATTAGTCACAGACTCACAGTACCTGTCTGAGAGACAACAGCGCAATGATTGAGACGGGAATTGTGGGCCTGGATCCTGGTTACTTGTATGCCTGATTCCCACTTCCAAACCATCAGCAGTCCATCTGTAGAGCCTGCCATTACATGATCCTCCTAAAGTCATTAAAAATCACATAAATATCAACAGGTTACACTTATTGTTTATTTTTGTGACCTTGCTTCTTGCTTGCAAAGGATTAGTTCACTTTTAAAAAAACTCATGTCATCCAAGATGTCCATGTCTTAAGGTTATTGATGAAAACATTCCAGGATTTTTCTAATCTTTTTTCGAGTCATTTGGTTCATTCAACGAACAAAATGAACGGAATGACTCGAAAAAAGATTTGTTCATTTTGATGTACGATTTCGAACTTTATTTTTGAAATGACCGATCGTTTCGCTAGATAAGACCCTTAAACGACATCGTCTGGTGTCATTTAAAGCCCTTTGAAGCTGCACTGAAACTGTCATTTGGACCTTGAAATGGTTGGGGTCCACTGAAGTCCATTATATGGAGAAAAATCCTGGAATGTTTTCATCAAAAACCTTCATTTCTTTTCGACTGAAGAAAGACATGGACATCTTGGATGACATGGGGGTGAGTAAATTATCAGCAAAAGTTTTTTTTAAAGTGAACTAATCCTTTAAGGTGCAACTGACTTACCCAACAGCACAATGTGCTCAAAGATGAACCAGACAGGATCTCTCTCAGCAAACTTCCTGTCTGGATATCCCAAATCCGCAGCTTACAGTCACTGGAGCAGCTAAGCTGAGGTGTAACAGAAGTTTTGCATTTGGTTAGACACAAATTCTGAGTTACTGAAATTAACTAAATGCCCTTGGATGGATAGGATTTCTTACCACTGCAGTTGACGTCCAGGCACATCCCGTAATCCAGTCTCCATGGCAATGGGAAAAAGACTGGGAAAGTACTGGAGGGGAGGAGTTTACATTCCATATCATCAAAGCCTATTGGAAGAGATTATGATAGTAAATCTTGTGAGAGAGTACACTTTCTTCCATTTTTTTTTTTTTTCAGTGATAGATATGGAGTGGACTAAGTACCTGATCTTTCCCTCCTGACAGCAACTCTTTTTCATTAGGACTGAAAGCAAGGCATGTGACCCCTCCGTTGTGACCTCTCAGAATACACATCACCTTAGGGTCGATCCAGGGCTTAGATGTCAATTCACTCTTCAACCACAGAGCAATAGTGAAGTCATCTAAAACAAAATTAAAATTTCAATAAAATAACATTTTAAAACATGAAATAAATTTTAATTTCTAAAAACTACTCAGTTGTCTAAAAATGGCAACCTAGAATGTACGTGAAAATGGATATTCATTCTGAGATTTACTAAAGACTACATTTTAATGTTATTAAATTATTTATAGTGCTTTTAAAGAATAACTTTAAGTGAGTGTTTGAAAAATGTAAATGTCTAAATGTAAAAATAGGTTGAAAAGAGCATGCAAAAATTAAATGTCCAGTATGGTCCAAAATCAATTGACAAAATGTTTTGTGCTTACTGACCAGATGCAGATGCCACACAAGTAGAGCTTTGAGCCAGAGCGAGGATAGCTCCCTTTTGCACGCCAAAAGATCCTACTGACACAAGGCTTTCCAAATTTTCTCCTTGCCTTTCCCAGACTCTGAGACGGTGGTCCATGCTCCCAGACAGCAGCAGCTCTGTTCCTCCTCCCTCCATCCACATGAGGCAGAGCATGGACACCTGCAACTCCTCACTGGCCCAGACCTTCTCTCCTACAGCACAAAGCATTTCAGGATGGGTTCCACTTCTGGTTACTCACAGTCTTCTCCATTATTATTAAGTGGATTGTTTTTTTGCACTTTATTTCGTTCATGGTATGGCTTTTGAGAACATGCAAGATTGAGAAGCAGTTTGAAAATATGAGCTCCAAGCTTGTGGAGGAGTACATTAGTAAATGTTGGAAACAAATGTTTATGTACCTGACTTCAAACTGAACATTTTGATACCATCTCCATGGTAACCCACATAAGCATGCCCACTGGCCACAGCCACACACAGAGCATTAGCTTCATCTTCATTTCCATGTCTGGTGCGCTTTTGTTGCTGCTGCAATACTGTAACCTGCAAATGATGATTAATTAATATCCTCCCTATAGGCACTCAAAAAAATCTTCATAGACCCCTAAATTAGAATATTCAATTCACACAAAGTTGAAAAGTTAAATGAACAGGCCTAAACATCATTTAAACATATTCAGATATACAAGTTTGTATACAAACCTTGGGGCAGAAAAAGACTGTTTGGGATCTGTACATCAAGCTGTTCTGGCTGAATTCATACCTGTTAAACTATTTATACTGCTTATACTGCTAGTACTTCTAAAAAGCAATTCTATTTTCAGAACATGAAAGTACACGAACATGAAAGTACTAATTTAAAGGGTAATTCTACCGGTGGAGACATGACTATGTATTGAAACTGGGTCATATATGTAGTAGAAAAGTATCATAAATTTCTAATTTGGGTCCTTCTTGGCCGATAAAAGGCAGAAAATGACTTTTTAGTGCTTGTGGATTGTAGACAACAATCCCCATAGTGCATTGCAATGCTCAGCTCCTACTACTCCGCCCATCAATGTAGATTAGAGTTGAGCTCTACTCTACGCTACAGCCTGGAAATCATTTCCCACAATGAAATCTGATAATGTGCACTAATATAATATGACGACGTAAGAGCGTCAAGGCGGCGCCCGCGCCATCAGCCAATGGATTGGCGTGATTCTATATGGGCTTCAGACAATCGGCACACTTACTCTGACGCGTAATTTTACACGTGAAATGCAGTCAAACCTTGGAGCGTTTTGTCTTCGGCATCATTAATCCCCTCGCTATTAGACGTTCAGGGAGTTTCCTGTATATTGATAATGGCTCCCCCCTCTTACAGTGACGTAAAATGATTTTTTGGACATTGTAGGACGAAGTGAAAAAGGTAAATAGCGTATTTCTCTCGTCTCAGGGGAAAATGAGAGAGTGTTGCACTACTATTCAATAGTACGACTGGATTTCTAAAAATGTAAAATCGTAATGCAAATGGGTGGAGTGTCCCTTTAAGAACATGAAAGTACCTTTTTCTCTCCCAGTACAGTGACAGATCGCCCAAGACCACCGGACCAAACATTAACCTGGACAATAAAAAAGCCACAATACGGAGTGTTTTAGGATGCCTGTTAGAGTGCAAACAAATCTAACAACTGAAAATTGTAGAATGTAAGACCCTAGTCCTCACCACACTGTCATGTCCAGCGCTCAGCAAAAGGTTTCCTCCCTGCAGGAAGTTTAGTGACTGTGTGGAGCCGCGGTGAGCATGATAACTGCCCACACAAGCACCTGCTGCCACTGACCAGAGCCGCACTTCTCCTGACAGACAGCCTGAGCACAATATGGAGGAGCAGGGAGAGAAAGACAGACTCCGCACTGAACTCTGATGACCTAACAAAGTCTAAAAAACGAGAAAGCATTGGGAGGGAAGTTAAGTTTTAGTATATCTGGCATAGCAACATATCTTTGGAGTCTTTCCTCACCGTAACGTTTTTCTGTTCAAGCCAGTTCCACAAACGAACAGCTCCATCCCAGCAGCCCACTGCCAAGAGCTGGCCCTCAAGGTCAAAGTTCACACAGTTGAGGGGGGAGGGATTCATGAGAGAGGCCACCTCTGTGCTCTTCTGCGCAGACCACACCTGAGTACAGCCAAATAAATGATGAATATGGTAGAATAGAACAGCACTACATCTATTACAGATTTTAAATGATTTTTCCTTGGTTTTACCTTCAAGTTTAGGTCTAATGAAACGGTAGCAAACAGTTTTCTGTCAGGACTGACATCACATCCTGTGATCTTGTTGGAGTGGGCATTCATGTGGGCAGTTCTTAAAGTGACAGCAAAAAAGAAACCGAAGATGACACCCCATGCAAAATACTCTATGTAAATTGTACATTTGAGCCAGAAAAACAAATTACCTGCAACCACTCGCAACATCCCACACCTCCACCTGCCCATCAAACGAGGTTGTTGCCAAAAGCTCCTCCCCAAGGAAAATACATCCAGAGATGCCATCACCACTGCTCATCAATGACTTCACTTCCTGTTTGAAAAAAATATATGTAAAAAAAGTTAATTGTGATTGAACCATCTTAAAAATGCCGAAAATCATAGTAGACGTATGTTTATATACGTTTTGAACTGTTACCTCTCCAGTCTCTGTATGCAGAAAGTGAAGTGTTCCCTCTAAAGTTCCCACTGCAACCAGTTTTCGATCAGGACTCACTACCACACAACTTGGCTCAG